CCCTGTCACTGGCAGGTGCTGGGGCAGGCTGGGAGAAAAACCCACGTACAAGTGCTGCCACAGTCTGACATGTCCTAGCTCCCCCAGCACCAGTTTAGGTATCAGGCTTCAAGCTGGGGCTCAGACTCGCCCCCTTTGGTTTCCTATGTAAGACACAAGTAGATCAGTGAGGATAGAATTAAGAGGCCTGTTTTTATACTGCTTTGAAAATTCAGTAGTTTAGCAAGTTAAAATCTTGTAACAGTAACACACCCATAACGCATTCAACAACTTACCCAGGGGCAGTAAGAGCCAGGCCCTGAGTCACCTGCCCCCTCCCCTTCTAGGGGAAATCCATAGGGTGCCACTGTGCCTGGCCAAGACCCAGTGGGGACAGAGCTGCATGCACCAAGAGGTGCTATGAAATCAGTCACCTGAGTCTTCTGCAACCCCACTCCCATTCTGCAATGCAGTCCGTAGTGAGGCTTCCTTTGGCACTCCTGATCAGAAACAGGGCAGGGTGAGTCTGGCCTTCAGGGATGTTCTGTAGGGCTGGCCTCTAGACTCACAGAGACAGCCCCACCCTGACCATGGCATTAGGCGGTATAGCAACAAACTGGCCCCTGGGGTAGGTGTATTTGGTAGGTGCCTCTACTCCTGAGATGCCTCTTCCCCCCTCCCCCCCCCCATTTCCTAAGGATAGGGGGAATCGAGGGCAAGCCCTTGCCAACAGCCAGGCCTGAGGTGACCAGGAGTTTGGTGAGGTTCTTAAGTTCATCTGTTCAGGCCTGGTCTGCGTGGAGTGTAGGAAACTCGGCAGGGAGGAGAGGGGTTCTCTCTGGCTGTCCATGTGGAGCATCCCAGGGTCGCCAGGAATCCTATAGAGCAGGGATGCAGGAAAATGGCCAGTGGCCAACTAGAAGGAACAGCAACTCCAGTGTGTGACTTCCAGTATGTCTGGGCAGAGCCCTCCTTCCCAGACAGAATTCCAGTGTGTCAGCCTTGACAAGAGCTCCAGTCTTGACAGGACATTCCAGTGTTGCCGAGAGCTGCTGCATTGCCAAGTCTGTCCAGGGGCGATCCAGTGTAACACTTTCCAATCCAGTGTAGTGGAGGGAGAAGGGTGCCAGTGTCCCCAGCAGGGAAGGAGATGCACAGAGTTGCTCAGGGCACCGCAGGATTCAGGGCGACAGTGTTCGTTTGGCATGTCCAGTAGAGCCCTGGCGCTGGTTATGTTGCTCCTGGCAGAGGTCCTATGTTCCTTGTGATGCACTTCAGTGTCCATATCGTCCCCAGGACAGAACCAAAGTGGCTCAGAGCCCCGAGGGGGAGGCAGGAGCAGAAGGGGACTTGGAGGTTTACGAGGAAGGCGTGTGGCAATCTGATGGGTTCACTAGTCCCCTTCCTCTCTCCTGGCAAAGGGCACTGGTGCTGCCAGGACTCACTCACAGAGCCAGTAAAACTGGAAATAATAGTCAGTAAAGAGGTGTCCCATGTACTCCGGGGTGGTACTACAGTTGGCTTGTCCCTGTGGGGGAGAGAGAGAGAGAGCTGTCACGAGAAACCTTTGCAGATGGAGCAGGGGGCAGCTGCTGTCCCACGTGTGTGCTTCACGAGCTGGATTTGCATATGGCCTCCATCACCTCCCCAGCATTTAAAACCAGAAACAGTCTCAGCCTGTAGGAGTAAAGAGGCTCCAGCGTTCCCCGGCCAACACCTGTCCCAGCATTGGGGTGACTTGGAAAGTCCTGGCCACTCACCCCAACTAACCCGCCAACATGCTCACCCAAGTAGAAGGGGAGTAAACCACAATCTACACAGGGAGGGAGAGCACAGCACTCAAATTCTCACAGGCCCCCTCCCTCTTGGGGAGCGATAGGGATGTGGCCATGGAGCCCGATCCCTGGGAGGGGTTCGGTGTCAGGACTGCCCCACTGATCTTGGTTCCATCTCTCCTCTCCGCTCTGCCCTGGGGGTTGAGGGCAGAGGACACAGCACGTCTCATACTCACAGGCTGGCCTACTCGGAAGTGGTAGGTGAACTCCCGGAAAGACAGCAACACCAGGGGCCAACGGTGTGTCCTTTCCTGAGGGAGAAGAGGGTAACATGGGGGTAAGGGAGGAGACGGAGAACCCATTACTACTAGGTGTTAGGTCATTCAGCCCTGGCCTGCTCCACACAGAAGGCTTCTGAGGCTCTATCCTGCGAAGCTGAGAAGGGACTGAAGTCCTGTGTCTGTTGGGGGCCACAGGGCTGGATGCTGGAGCTGGAGGGAACCCCAGCTCCTGATGAGGCACCAGGGGAAATGTATGCAGAGAGAGAGCTGCCCCGAGAATGAAGGTAGCTGTGGCTGCAGCCATCGTGTCACCAGGGAGGATAAGGAGATGGGTGAGGGTGGGTTTTGAAGAGTGTAAGCCTCGAGCTGCAAACCCTGGTTATAAACTTCTGGGGGATCTGAAGCTTAATTACAAGAACAGCGCTGAGAACAATTCAGGAGCCAGTGCGGCCTGCTACCCTGAACCACCAGCTGGCAGGGAACAGCTGATGCCAACTGAAGGTGTGGCCCGCCGACAGGCTGGTGCGAGCAGAGCTGCTGGGGACCCGGAGGTGGCTGGCACTGGGGGAACAGATGGCGGCAGTAAGAAAGTTTTAGCACCCAGGCAGCTGGAGTCTCTGGAAGGGCGGCGGCAGGATGTGGTGGGCAAAGGGGAGCTGCTAATACGAACCCAGTGCACATGGGCCTAGGCAGAGGGGTCGAGGAAGAAGAGAAAAGGGTATTTCATAGGAACAGAGTAAATCAAAATAATTGACAGAGCCCCTGAAAATAGGGGAGCAGGGTGGGTCTTGCTGAGGAATTGGGTCTGTCGTACCACAGAGTACCAAATCCATAGGCTTGCATCAGAGACAAGGAGGCATCAGAGGCCTGGAGGAATCTGAAGCCCCTGTGAGGTCTCGTAAGGAAGGCAGAGACATCCCAGCCACCTGCATCAGGACCAGCGGCCAGGAGGGTCAGAATCTCCTCTCCCAGAACAGTCTACCTGGAGCCCCGTGAAGGAAGGCAGCTCAGGCTGCATGTCCTTTGAGAGATGGGCCGATGCACTCCACCACAGAGGCAGCCACCCCCCTCCTGTTGGCTACCTTGGGGAGACCTTTCCAGGGAAGCTCGGTGAATCTAGCAGCTTCTAGATCTACAGAGAACTCCAGAAATAAGGGCGCTGGGGATTAGTGCCATGGTGTTCAACCAGTTCTTAAGCAGTAGTCACTGTAGTGGCTACTGTTATAGTGAACTAGCCACATTATTCTGAAAATGTAAATAGTCTTATGAGCCAACTAGCCACACTCAACCAGCCAAATAGCCGCATGTTGGACACCAGGGGATTAGTGTCTCCTTCTGCCTTCCCTCCAGGAGCAGCTTTGCACAGGCACCGAGGCTCATGGCTCCAGCTAGGCTGTGTCCTAACAGGAAGTCGGACAACAAAGGTGGCAGCCCCAAGGAGTGTGGGGGCGGTGAGGGGAGCGGATTCCGTTTCCGGTAGCCCAGCAGTCAGTGCTCCATGTGTTGCCAGCCGGGTGTCTCCCTTCTCAGACCTAGTCTGCACCACACCCTGCTTGCTCTGCATGACAACTGGTTTGTCCCTAGCCCCCATGTTGCTCCTCAGGAAGCCAGGCAGCTTGGGGTGCCAGGGACCTTGATGACAAACGGCAGGGGATCTGGAGGACGGCCCGGCGGTGCCCTACCTGGGTGGCTGTGGAATTGGCGGAGCTGTCCATGCTCACTGTGTTCTCACAGGGGGCACGGGACTCAAGGCCACAGAGGTGGATGGACACAGCAGAGGCGGCACTGGAGAGAGGAGGGAGAGTTCTGGTTAGCATCAGGAAAGCAGCCCGGCCACACAAACAGGCCCCTGCGCCGTTCACACACCATCCAGTCACCCCATAACTGCATATTGCCCCTTGCAAGCTACTCAGCCTGCTTCTTCCCAGCCCGCTCCTCCCTTCTCACCATTCCCCCAACCCCACTCCCCCCCCCAGTTTGCTTCTCCTCCTCACACCGCCAGCGGCAGACAAGCGTTTTCACTCACTTCATCTCCAGGGTGAGGTTGGTGTTCACTGCTGTTGAGGGGCTGATGGGGATGCGGTAGGTGACATTCCCTCTCCTGTGGGCACAGACAGAGAACTCGATACCTCGGACAGAGCCGTCTGTGCGACAGGCACTGGGTTCCCTGCCCCACCACGGCTCTGCAGCTTCTTTGGGGGGCAGCAGAAGACAGAGCTCGGGTAATTTGGCTCGGGGCACACCCATTCATCGCCAGCACACAGGTTCCCACGCAGCCTGTCACACAGAGGATCCAGGAGGAACCTCTAGCAGCAGCTACAACCGTGGCCCTACGCCATTAAGTGGCCCAGACTCGTTAGTAGCATGTACAATATGAGCCGGTGGGTCTCCCAGTCCAGTTCCCGCTGGGTCAGGCGAGCACATCACACACACCGCTGCAGCCACGGGAATGGAGAGGGAGCCAGGGGTGGCCCGGGCAGGCTGTGGTCGGTTAGTTGGGCAGCATGGGGGAAGCCAGAACGGCTTCAGGCTCCAGGAGCGGTGATGGCCGGGCCCTGCCTCCGACTCACCTGCATCCGTCGCTGGCTGCACAGTACTGCGGAGTGATGGCCAGGTCGTTCTCCACAAACCGTATGGAGCGGAGCAGAGTGTCCGGCCCTGCAGCAGGGAGAGAGGTTGCTGCAAAAGTGGAAACAGCCAGAACTCCCGAGCTTGGTGAGTCAGAGGGGCTGGAGTTGGGCGTTCTCCAGTCCCTGGGGCGATCCCTTCCCCAAAGCCCCTCTGTTGTCTGCAGGCTGCCTGCTAATCCCCTGGCGAGTTCTCCCCTGGGCAGGGTTAGGCCTCAGCCCACTAGATCTCCCTGCCAGACAGTACTTCCTGCTGCTCAGCCTTAGAGCTAAGGCCCCGGGTTTCACATACACAGCTTCCCCCCTGCGGTGTCCCTGCAGACAGCAGCAACTCCAATGGCAGCGGGGGCACTCAGCCCCCTGGTCATAAAGTCACTCACTTTGGGTGCCTAGATGTGTATTTAGGAGCATAGCTTCAGACTGGGGGAGGATGCGGATCTTGCTGACTCAGGCTGGGATTTCCAAGCAGTCTAAGGGATTTAGGTGCCTGAAATTCTCCTAACTCTCCCCTTGGCCTGCTGGGACGTGGAAGTGACAGTCTCTGTGCTAGGCACATGCAGCGCTCTTAGCCTCACCATCGCTGCACCTTCCAACATGGGGGTTCCCTGCCCCCTCTCAGTGTGTTTGCCCTAGGCACCCCGTTGAGTTTACAGACAGCGCTACTTGACAGCTCCCTCCCCTCCCTGGGCCCAGGTAGCGCTGATCGCCCCCGGTTACAGCTGCTTGGCCTCCACTGCGTGAGAGAGGGACACATCTGGGACGGTAACTCTCCCTCTCACAGACACAGGCTGCTGAAGAGGGTCCCTTAATGCCAAGCCAGTTCTGGGAACAGCCATGTTGGGCTCTGGCACCATCCTGGGCCATCTATGCAGCATTTCTCACCCATTTACTTGCTTTGGCTTGGCAAAAAGAGCAGGCTGGGGGCCAAGTGCCTGGGTGGGAGCCGTGGGCAACTGGGCACATGGGGGTAGAATATGGGTGACACCCTTTGCGAGCCAGGGAGCCCAAGACCCGCGGGCAGAGGGCCCAGGCAGAGCACAGAGTTTTAAAGGGATCCGCTGGGTTGATATTGGCATACAGCTGATCGAAGCGCGGTCTCTACTGAAAGCCAGCAGCTACTGGCCATGACAGCCATGGTGAAACATACGCAGCGGCAACGATTCAGAGTCGGATACCGACAGCAAAAACGATGTTCTCTAGTTCTGAGCGCTAAGGCCGTTCACCCGGTGGTGACTGACCTCAGAGCTGTTCCTTTCAGGCAGGAATTCATGGAGGCCTAGGAGATCCCAGGGCAGTGTGCTGGCACAGCCACTGCGTGAGGGTCACAGGACTGCCCACGTACAGGGAAAGATGGGGGTCCGGATTTGGCTGCAGTGGGGAGGAGGGGACGCGGGCTGCACTCCGGGTATGGCCCAGCATGTGCGGCGGGACGGGCTGCACACCCACTGAAGGGCATTCCAGGCCTGTAGCGCTGCCGGCAGGGAGAGGCTGAGGGGCCCACTTACCATCCTGCCCAGTGCCCGTGAGGCCGGGCTGCTGGCTGGCCGGCTGGGGGATGCTGCGCTGCTGCCGGGCCTGCCCCAGCGGGAAGCTGTTGCGTGCCAGCGAGAGGTTGGAGCTGTATTTGGATTTGCTCTGGAGGTGGGTGAAGGGGGAGGAGGGGCTGGCGTTGGGGCTGCCGAAGCCCTGCGACTGTGCCGGGGTCTTTGGCCACTTGGCATGGGAGGTCACCTTCCCCATCAGGCCCCTGGATTTGGCTTTGATGGTCATCACCGGCAGGAGGGACAGGAGGAGCTGGTCTGGGGCGGAAGGCAAAAGGGGGATCAGAGGGGAGAGACACAAAGCGAGGCAGACAGAGCCACTCTGCTCCAGCCACTGGGGTGAGCGCTCAGCCTCTGGGCGGGGGGAGCGGGAACACACCTGCTCCCTCTTGAGGAGACTTGGCCAGCAGGAGTGAGGCCTGGAGCTCAGGACACAGACTGTCTCTAAAGCCGGGGGTGAGCAAAGGGGCCTCTGCAGGCCTGATCCGGCCTGCCAAGCGGGTGGATCCGGCCTGTGGCTCCCTCCCGCCCCCAGGCCAATCGAGACCTGGGGAAGGGCGAGCATGCAACGACTCCCTTTCCCTCCTCCCTCCCCCACCAAGGGCACGCAGTGGCTAGAGAGAAATGCAGGAAGTTTTAAAACAGCCGGGGGTTCTCTCTAGCTGCTGTGCAGGGCGGGGCAGGGGGTGACAGACTTTGCACACACCCCCACCCCCAGGCCCTGATTAGCTTGGGGACGGGAGGGGCGTGCGAGGTCTCCTCCGGTTGTGGCGCCTAGAAGGAACCACCAGCTGATTCTCTCTAGGCGCTGGCGATGGAGAGAGAAGACGTCACGTACTCCCCCACTTCCAGGCCAATCAGGGTCTGTGGGAGGGGAGCAGAAGAAGTCTCCTGGCCCCGGCCCTTCCACCCAAGGCCCCTTTGAAAGTGGCCCCCTTTCAAAAACTACTGCCCACCCCTGCTCTAAGCCCTCCCCAACACTATGGGGAGCCTGCACGTGGCATCGGGGCTGTATTTGCCAGCAGAGAGTCTGCTGCCCCCGAGGAGTTTCAATCACTTATCGCGCGTGCGTGACCATTGCTGGGTGTGAACCAGCATCACTTCCAGCTTTCCCAGGCCTCTGGGGCCAGCCGTGGGGGGCTCCACTCCTAAAGCAGCCGGCATGGAGGCAAACAAAGCTCATAGGCAGGGTCACACCTAGGCTAGGCATGGGCCATGTACAGCGAGGATGTTCGCTCCGAGTCTCGGTATGTCCCAGGTGGGCGGGTGCTTACCTGTCCGGTTGGGGGCAAGTGTGGGGCTGCTCTCAGAGTCAGCAGCGGCAGAGGCATTGGTGGGAGCGGCAGAGCAGCACACGGAGAAACATGGAGGGTGCAGACACACAGCTACGCTACGGCCAGGCAAGCCATGGGCAGAGACTGGCCCGTGCACTGTCACTGCAAGTCAGACACCAAGGAGACATGCTGTGTGTTAGCACCAGAGCTATGGGACAGCTCAGCAGCACCAGGACAGCCCCTGGGAATCCCGACATGGCCCCACCCCCACTGCTCTCTCTCAGCTCCTGGGAACAGCCCCCTCCCACTCTGCAGACATGGCTGCATCCCCTACCGTAGCAAAGTTTCTGGGTACCACATGACCTCTACGGTTGTACATCACAGCCGCAGAGAGCTGCCAGCAGTGTTTGGTCTAGGGATGGAATAGTATAGTCAATTAACCGATTAACCAATAAGCAAAAGCATACAGGTTAATGCTATAGACTACATGCATTCCCTCCCTCCCTCCCTCCCGCCCCCAAATAAACTTTTTAGCAGGCTGATCAGCAGCCAGACTCATTCCTGGCTTGTGCCAGGTCTGGGGTTTACCCCTGCTGCGGCTCCTCATTTCAAGTGTACTAGGAGCTAGGCTGGCAGGTAGCCCGGCTCAGTTCTGGCACGTGCCGGGTCCGGGAGCACAGACACACACACCCCGGATAGGAGGTGCTGCCACCCTGCACACAGAAGTGTGTGGGCGGCGACAGGCAGCCAGTCCACGAGGGGAGTTAGTTTTTAAACTGGCTTCTCTTGTGGACCAGCTCTTGCTGGCACCCCGCAAGGAGTGGCAGTGGGTTCCTCGGGAGTGAGGCCGGAGCACGCTGGCTGCTGCCCTGCCCCGGGGACTATAGAATAGTCGACTAACCGATAAGAATTCACGAGGTTACTCAACTATTCAATTAACCCCTATTTAAGATCCCTAGTTTGCAGTGGCTTGGCGGAGCAGAAGCCTGGCCTCCACCCCCCGCTGCAGCCTGCAGAGCTGGTACCTACCAGGGAGAGGGGAGGTGCCACCACTAGGTCTGTCTGACGAAGCCGTGGATGAAACAAACTGAGTCTTATCAAAGTTCTGATTTAATCTGAAATGCAGGAAACGTGTGTCAGAGCCTCTCCCATAGGAAACCCAAGCAGGGAAGGAAGAAGGAACTGACGGAGGGCCGTAGGCAGAGCAGACATGGAGAGAAAGCAGAAGCTGGGAGGTGGGAGAGGGGCTGAGTGGGGACACAGAGAAGGAAGAAGGGGAGATTAGTGAATGGGAGCAGGACAGGAAATGGGGGAGAGGGACAGGCTGGGGAAGCAAATTGTTGGCAGAGACCAAGCAGAGCTAGGAACACGGGTTGTCAGGCCAGCTCGAAGCTAGGATCCTGCAGCTGGCATGGACCAGCTCTTGCTGCATCAGAAGAAATTCGAAGAAGCTTCTTAGCCAGTAATGAAATGACCTGCCCCCGGCCAAGTTTCTTTTTGTCCCCATCAGCTAGAGGTTGGTTTGTGGCCTGCAGCATGAAGCTTTACATCCTGCCTGAAGGATCTCTTGGCGCGGCCGAACATACGCAGAGGGTGTCCTTACCCAGTTACATGTCTAAGCCCTTTCTGAACCCAGCAGCCCTGGGTCTCATTCATCTCTGTGCCCGTGGGTTTCCTACGGGCTGTGTGTAAAGGGTTTGCTTTTATCAGATTCAAATGTGTGGCCTTACTCTGTTCTTGCATGTCCCTTTACTCTAGCATTACAAGAGGGGGAAGAGAAGTCCCTGGTCTCTCCCTCCCAGGCCTTACTGCATAATCCTTTCAGCTCTCGCTCATCTCATAAGGAAATCTCTCCATGCCTCCGTCATCTCCACCGCTCCTCTCTGGAACTTGGCTCTGTTTGGCTAGCCCCTCTTTGAAGCACAGGGACCGCAGCCAATCACAAGAGGTCAAGTGAATGTGGCTCCTTCATGATCTAACCGCAGGCGACCGTATTGTCAGGATTTTTCTCCATTCCCTTCCTCTGGTACCTTCACTTGCTGACCATGGCTACTGCTTCTTGGAGCTGACTGCCCAGCTATCTTTCCTGAACGGTCACACGTAGAGCTGAGAAAGGCCCTGGCATAGTTCATATTATTCCCTTCCATGTGCGCTACTTCACCCAGTTCAGCACAGCGTCTGCCGCTCGTTGAGGTGGGCTAACTACGTCGGCGAAGGAGCGCTCTCCCTGATCTGTTAAACCAGCACTCCTGCATCAATCACAATGGTGCTAACTTAGCGCAGCAGCAAAGACAAACCCAGACTTCCATCAGCCATGGCATGGCTGATTCACCAAGCTCCTTACGGTCTCATGTCACCTAAACAACGTTGGGTCCTCTGCAAGTTTTGCTCCCTTCTTCAGGTCACTGATGAACCTGAATGAAAACAATACCAGCTCCAATCTGGATTCTTGGATATTGATGAAGCATTTATTCCTAAGCTTTATTGTCTGCTGTCGTTTAGCCAGTTCCTAATTAGAAGAGGACTTTATTTGCATCCCGGGATTCCTTCCTTGCTGTGATACCCTCCAGGGAAGAGCTAGGCCAAGAGTTTTTCAGATAAATTACGCCGCCTAGCAATTCGTTGCCCACTATTTCGTTGATGCGATCGAAGGGACTGGGGAGGCACGAATTTCCTTTCTGGAAGCTGTGCTGGTCTGAGCATTCATGGTTTGCTTTATCGCTCGTTTTGAACTCATAGTTTATTCTATAGAAGTGGGGCTCGCTAGGCTGCAGTTCCCACAGTCTTTCTTAAAGCTAAGGACAACCACTGCTGCAGGAGCTCAGAGGGCACATTATGGTTGGCAGCTTGGCCCCTTCTGCTCTGGCTGGCTCGCTGGGCTCTCTAATGTATCCGTGTGTCCCAGCACCTCCTCTGGGGCCACCTCATTCTTGTCAGGGCAGCTTCCCTTCATATGACCAGAGAGTGAGGGGGCAGATGCTGCTCCTGCGGCTCCCATTGAGCAGTGATGGAGAACTGTGGTCAGTGGAGGCTGTGGGGTCGGGCCTACACCTGCTGTGGTGGACGTGCATGTAACAGAGCTGTTGAGGGACCGATTCAGACACACTTGTCCGCTGTGAGCAGAACCTGACTGCAGAGCTGGCAGGAAGGCACGGTGGCTCTACTCAGCATGAGAACAGATGGCAGAGCCCTACCTTTGCCCCCTCCACACATGCTCCCTTTGCTCCCTGATAATCCAGCCAACCTAACGAGCCTCTTGCTATTTTCCAGCCTCTGATCTACTTACAAATGTTTTTGTTTTTTCTTTTATTTGAATCTTCCTTTGGCTAATTGCTCTTGAAATTCTTAGCACACACCCCCTTCCCATCTTACACATTGCCTGCTAGTATCCAGGCTCCTTCCCACTGGTTTCACTAGGGTAAGAGCCCCATAGTCAGAACAGCCATTCAACTCGGCCATGCTGGTTTCCCCCTTGCCTTCCTGTTTTGTTTAGGAGCATCTGTGCTTTCTGTAACGCAGACAGAGGAGAAAGAAAAAGAGGTGGCAGAGAAGAGAGGTAGCGCTCAATCCAATGAAAGAGAAGTAACGTACCGTGGGCACAGAGCAACTGGGACCCCAGGACCCCTGTGCCGAAAAAGGGCCAGGAAACAGGCAGTGGGCACAGCCAAAGATCTACATGGCACCAGGGAGAGGGAGGAGGAGAGAGCAAGAAAGAGGGAGATAAACAGAAATGAAAAGACAGAGGAAAGGAGAGAAGGGGACAGAAACATACAGGAATGAAAATGGGTTGGGATGGAGAGGTACACGGGGCAGACGGGAGATGGCCAGGAATGGGAAGGAGAGAGGCCAATAACGACTTGAGGCTGCAAAGACCCTGTCTGCTGCGGAAGCAAAGTGGGCAGGAAATCCGGGTGGGCCACTGTGCTCACAGTCTCTCCTCAGGCCTTAGGCCACTCTCCTCAGAGGCCTGATCTCCACTGGAACAAACTGGCCTAGCTCCACTCAGGTCAGCAGAGCGAAGCTAGTTCTTCGCCACACGTCCAACTGCTCCAAACACAGAGGGTTACACAGGTGCCACAAAGACACTTTTCTAGCCAGACCTCGGCACCTTGTTTTTTCTTCCCGTTTCTCCTATTTTGCTTGAGGCAGCTAAAACAGAGAAGGCCTCGCTCAGGCCTCTGCCCACTGATCTTGGCATGAACCAGGGAATGTGCTTTGGCTGGATTCTGCAGAATCTGCCAGCCAGCCAAGGAGCTGCTAATGATCAATGTTGTTGTTACGGATTTCCCACCCTCCCCACCCCCGCCTCAGTGGCCAAACCCAACCTGCCATTCCTCAGGCAGCTACCGAAAGGCTGTTGGGATAAAGCTGCAAGTCGGATATCACGGAAAAACAGGCTGCGGATATGGAAAAGGCCTGCTGGGTCAGGCCTTTCGCCACTCTCCTGGGGGCTGGTCCCTAGCCAAGCACAGCTCGCAGTCGGGAGCTTTTCTGGCATAGATGTCGCTTTTACGCGCAGAGCTGTAGCCATGCCAGTCGCAAGGTACTGGAGAGGTGGGGGGAGGTAATCTCATTTATTGGACCAACATCAGCTGGGGAGAGAGACAAGCTTGCACCTTAACACACTTAAAACCACCTTCGCCAAAACAAGGACACGCCACCAGAAATGTAAATTGCATTATGAAACAGGCCACCTAAGTACCCCCCGAGAACATGCGTAGGAACAGAAATAAACCCCCATCTGACACCACCCCCAACACAAGCTGCTACCTACCAGCCTGCACTGGAACCCTTGGGGGTAATATCGACCAACTACAACCCGTATGCAATGGGGATCCCCTCCTGAAAACATTCTTTCATGAACCCCCTCTTCTGGCCTTCAAATAACCCAGAGCTCATCGTCAGAAGCCAGCTCCTCACAGACCAGGATGCACCCTTCCAAAGCAGCACCGGACCTTGTCACCACAGCAGATGCAAAACCTGCAGATGTCTTTCCCCTGCTACAGTGACCAGCCCCCCCACAACACACCTGTCAAGGCCCATGGATCCTACACACGCCTATCATGACATGCATGTGCCCCGCCCAGTGCACTAAACGCCCCAGGATCAGCTACATGGGTCAAACCAGACAGGCACGATGCTCGTGAATGAGCAGAGACACAGAACGGCCTCTCAGCGGTGGGTGAGCACATCACGCAGCAAGCGCTCCACAGCGGACCTCTCCAGCCTCATTCTCCACTTTCAAAAGACGAGCCTGGGAACTTAAGTTCACATCTCTGCTAGACACTAAAAACCAGGGACTGACGAGAGACCTTGGGCATGGCTTATTAGAACGCCCTGTAACTCATCGGCCCCCTCTTTTCGTCCTAGGACTGCAGGCACATTCACGGGCCGCTGCACCTTGAATTCTCCCTCCCAATGCATACTGCTTATGCTAAACAATCTGTGCCACCTTGCTTTTTGCTGGGAGGCTGGGAATACCTTTCCCAGCCCTGCAGAAGAGTTTCATGTGGCTGGAAACATAACAGCGGCCACACTGGGCCAGACCAAAGCGCCACCTAGCCCAGTGTTCTGTCTGCTGACAGTGGACAATGCCCGATGCCCCAGAGGGAGTCAACAGAATAGGGAATCATCAAGCAATCCCCCCTCTGTCGCCCATTCCCGGCTTCTCACAAACAGAGGCTAGGGACCCCATCCATTGATGGATCTATCCTCCATGAATCTATCTAGCTCTTTTTTTAAAACCTGTTAAAGTCCTGGCCTTCACAACATCCTCTGGCAAGGAGTTCCACAGGTTGACGGTGCATTGCATGAAGAAGTACTTCCTTTTGTTTGCTTTAAGCCTGCTACCTATTAATATTAAAGCTTGTCTCTCTCTCCAACCTCACCCTCCTGGTATCTTTATAGATGTATCTTGGTTAGTTCCACCCTCTGTTTCCAGTTATGAGTTAAAAGACAGACACTGTAGCCCCACTTCCCCTCAATTGACATGTCTGGGCAAAGCCCCATTGGTCCTTTACTCTCCCTGCACAGACCTATCCCTCCAGCCCTGTTCTGGTCCTGTCTGCTCCTCTCTGCATTCCCTCCCGTCTGTCAAGGGGACAACGGAGCCGTGACGCATGCTGGAGGACATGCGTGTGGGGAGGACACGTACCCATCAATATCCGCGAGGTCCTCCTCGTTGCGCAAGCTCAGCACGTAGAGCGTGGACATGGACACCACACTGGGAAGGAGAGAGAGAGACGATCACATGCCGGGGATAAGCGATTCTCCCGCTGCAGCACCACCAGTGGCTGTCTCAATGGTCCAAGCCGCCACTCCCTCCCTAACCCAGTAATGCTTCCAGGCTGGCTTTTGTTGGCTGGGGTGGTTGCCACGAGAGATGCCCCACTCTAAGCAGGCAACAGGCCAGCTCTGTTTGGGCAGGGGCACAGGGGCCGATGGAGGAGAGGACAGGAACAGGGATAGGAAAGGCCTTTCAGTTACAGGGCCCAGCACAGAGAGAGGCCTGGAGACGAGCATGAGAAGGAAACACGGGAGTGGGAGGTGCTGGTGGCACAGCAGAGCCTTGAAGGTGAAGCCCAGGGCCGAGTGCAGCCCCAGTAAGCAGGCATGGCTCCCCCGGATATGGATAAGGGTTGTGCTCACTTATTCCAGGAACCGTGCCCCTGAGGCAGGCTGGAGCAGTGCTCCAAGGGGACACACCCAGTGTGGCTGGCAAGGAAGATGCCCGTAGTGGAGCCAGCGAACGCCCTATCCCCTAGGGTATGCTGGAACCTGCCCCACCACCTTACTTTCTGAGTGCCCTTTATCCCGCCTGTCCCTGAGGGGGAGACTAGAGCCTGCCACCCTGCCCGCCCCAGGCGAATGCCCTATCTCCCACCCCACCACCTTACTTTCAGGGCACCCTTTATCCTGCCTCTCCCTTGCTGGGAGGGGGGGTGGTACTAGAACCAGCAAGCAGGAGGGTGCGGTGGTGGCGGTGAGAGACCAGAGGGCTGCAAAGGGCTGGGTTTGGAGAGGCTGGGGTGGGGAGCTTTCCCCCAGCAAGAGGCAGTGTTGTGTGGCTGAGGCCCTGCTGTGGATCCGAGCATGGTCAGGCTTGCGCAGTCCCTGCCTGCAGTGAGAGCGCTGCAGCAAGTGCCACAAGCTTGCAGCACGGCCCTGCTTTACATCCTCTGTGTGCCACCGCCACACTCCGGGGGATTTAGGCAAGAGATTCCCTTGTTTCTGGGGATGCCCCTGCTCCTTTCCCAGCTCTGCGGCAGGCTCCTTGGGTGCCCATGGCCAGCACTTCCCCCTCTGTGCTGCAGGGCATTCCCGCCATTATCCAGCCAACGGCAAGGGGCAGAGCAGGCGGCGGTTTGCAGAGGAGCACAGACACTGGCACACAGCTGCAGGGTGCTGGGGGAAGGCCATGCAGAGCGGGAGATGGGCTGCAAGGCAGCAGGTGGCTGACGGCAACAGAAGGCCATGTGTCAAGGAACCATCCATGGGCAGGGCATAGCCGCAGGAGCCCCTGCGCGGTGGTGCTAGCAGGGGCACTTGTTCTTCTCTTACTTGCTCTCCCACTTGGGGCATCTTGCCACAAACTCATCCAAGAAAACGTGATATGTTTAAACTAGGACAGACAGAGCCATCCCTGCGGCGCCTCCTCAGGGGGAGGGGAGATCTCCCCAGGCTAGACCCCCTCCTGTGCCAGGGGGCATTGGAGAAGTGGGGGGGATCTCCCCAGGCTAGACCCCTGCTGTGCCATGGGGCATTGGAGAAGTGGGGGGGATCTCCCCAGGCTAGACCCCTGCTGTGCTATGGAGCATTGGTTATACACAGAAGCATCCTACAGTTAAGTTTCAGCTGTGCCTTAAATATCTTTAAAATTCTTATATACCAATTTTTGCCAGTTTGCTCTCATTTTGTTTAGATGAGGTTTGATTCCCAAAGTGAGACGATTAAGCCATAAAGATGATATACAGCATTGGCAGGTTTTCTAGAAACTTCAGTGTCATGTATTAGTCTTTCACTACAGGAGATTTAAATCTTCTTTTCATCAAACATGAAAATTAATTTGATGGTGTTAAACCAGGCCCAAGTGAACATTTGTTGATATCACAAAACGGGTACATTAACCCAAAATTTGATGCTATTTTTCTTGTTGTTCTGAACCAATTTAGAGCTGAAGTAATTAGGCAGAGGGGAAACTTTAGACAAAGATAGATATAGGCTGGCAAAGTTGGGCAGAGGGCTTTCCCTCTATTGGACCATGTAGTCCAATATCTTATCTCTGAGGGTATCCCCAAAAAACTCTGCTGAGTCCAGGGAACGCATTTGCCCCTCCCCCCCCCCTTTTTTTTTTTTTTTTGGCTCAACAACTTTGGTCTCCCCCTCCCCTTTTTTTCCCCCTTCGACAGAATTTTTTCCCCCATTGTTTGTTTGTTTTGCGGGGGGGATGTTTCAGTATTTTTGTTTCAACTATCTGGCAACCCTGTTGGGAGTGTGGGAGGATCTCCCCAGGCTAGGCCCCTGCTGTGCCATGGGGCATTGAGGGGGGCGAGAGGGATCTCCCGAGGCTAGGCCCCTGCTGTGCCATGGGGCATTCAGGGGGGCGAGAAGGATCTCCCCAGGCTAGGCCCCTGCTGTACCATGGGGCAGCAGGGGGTGGAATCTCTCAGCACTGAGGGCAGAGAGCAGGCACAGGCCTGTGCTGTCGCTCACCTGAACGCCATGACGACGACCAGGGCAATGATGGTGCCTTGCAGGAAGCGCTGGCTGATGCAAGCTTGTTCTGTGACAACAGCCGGGGACTAGAGGAGAAACGCAGGGGAATCAACTGCCTGCCTCAGGCGGGGCTCACTGCATTTTATTCCATGCTGCCCTGGCGCCGCTGCCCTGGAGGCCATTCCTGATGCATCCCACAACGCCCTTTGGTGGCCACTGACACCACGGCAGGATGGCTCATCCACAAGGCACTAGCTAACCCCGCTGCAAGAGGCAGGACGGCCACCGGGCTACGGGTGCAGGAGAAGGGGCAGCAGGAAGACACAGGCAGCCCTGGCCCAACATAGGCCTCACTCACGTGTCCCCCAGTGCCCAGGCTCTGCTCTGCTGCCCCAGACACCCGGCCCCCGCGTCATGCCCCACAGCGCTTCACAAAAGCCCCGCTCCCCCCCGTACCTTGCTGGCCATTTTGGGCGGCCTCTTTTTGTGGGGCACACTTCCTGCGCGGCTGAACTGACTTCCTGTTTGGCTGTAAGGAGAGAAGAGAAGATGAGGCAGGAAGCCCCTCCGGGAGCTCCCTGGGTGGAAGGTTATGCGCCTGTCTCAGTAACTGCAGGCAGAGAGTTTCAAGCACCACGGCGGGGTAATGGGCCTGTCACCCGGCTGTTCAGAGCGATGCCAGAGAAGGCCCAAAGGGGTGAAAGGCGCCAGGGCGGGATGGGACTCTCCCTGTGTTGCCCCCCCATGCGGCTGACTGGTGAACAGGCCTGCGGTGGAACGTTCCTTTCAGCTCCCTGGCCCCGTGGTTGGAGCGGGCGGGCGGAGGCCTGTACCTGAATGCCCCGGAGCTAACCGTTGACTTCATGCTGTCCAGTCGCTTCAGCTTAGCCAGCTTGTGACTCCACCTCTCCAGCTCGTCGATGCGGGTCTCCAGGTTGTCGGTCAGCTTGCAGAGCTCCTTCACCGCCCCCACGTTCTCCATGAAGATCCGCTCCTGCCAGGGGCCACATGGTTCGGCATGAGCCCTCTCGGGGCGCAGCGGGACAGCCACACACAGACCTGCCTGGCCTCCTCCTAATCAGCTGTCCCCTGGCGCCACTCCAAACCTGCCCTACCCCAGTGGAAAGGTCACGGTGTTTCACTTAGCACGCCGGAGAGGGAAAAGCAGAAGAGGAAGCAGACCCAACTGCGCGTGGCCATCAGGACCCTGAGATTTACACAGGGTTTTTAACGCTCAGTTGGTGCCAAATCTGGCTCCAGGAGGGTCACTCGGGCACCAGTGGCCCTTGGCAACTTCGTCAATCAAGCAAAGCTTGATACGCCAAGAGAACGAACACCCTGCCAACCGCAACCTGTCCAGTACCCCCCGGCGCTCCAGTCCTCAGCCCCACGGCTCACAACTGCAGCGCTGTCCCGTGGGCAGGGAGAGAGGTGCTGTAAGGCATCGCTGCCATCTCCCCAAACCCTTTTCCCCATTTCTTCTCCCCAGCGAGTCCTGACACGATCCCTGCCCGAGCCCAGTAGGCAACTGGCTGATCTATGGGCCTGCTCCTTGCTTGGGGCCTCTGGATCCCACAGGTAATTCATAGTAAAAGGCAGGTCTCAGCTCAAAACCAACAGGGCAAATTCTCTCTGGCAACCAAGCCGGCAGCCAGCACTGATAGTCCAGCTCCTTGCGAGACACCCCACAAAAAACAAGCTGGGCCTCCCCTCCCCCACACTTCGCCTCAGCATCTGCTTGCATGTTGCTATGGCGGCAGCCCGCCTGGTCATCTAACTGCAGCGGGGAATTGACCCTCAGCCAGGAAGGAACAGAGCCCCCAAGGTCAACCCTGTTCGTTCCCACTGTGGTCTACAGGGGAATCAACCAAACCCAACAGTCGGCCACACGAAAGGCAGCTGGCAGGCCTAGTGAGATCAGCATGGCCACTGGGTTTCTCTCCCCTGCCAGCGGAGATCCTCTCCCATGGCGCCAGTGCTGAGATCTGAGGGACAGCAAGGTGCTCCAACCTGTCTCTCCATAACCTCCTCTGTCATCTGAACCAGAATGGGAAGATCAGATACAGAGCCCTAATTTGGCAAGTGACATTTTTTGGGGGGGATGGTGCAAAGGTCTCACAACAGCCTGCCTAAGGGAGGCCAGGAATCTGCCCTCCCTCGAGGAACTGCTGTCAGCGTCTGCCAACACTGGGCTCAGGTCTTTCCCAGTGGCCCTCACCAGCCAGCAAGGACACAACCTCAGACTCCAGGCTGCAAAGTGACCTTGCACCAGTGTTCAGCGGGGGGAGGGATAGCTCAGTGGTTCGAGCATTGGCCTGCTAAATTCAGGGTTGTGAGTTCAATCCTTAGGGAGGCCATTTGGGCTAAAAAATTGTCAGGGATGGTACTTGGTCCTGCTGTGAAGACAGGGGACTGGACTCAATGACCGTCCCTTCCAGTTCTAGGAGATAGGCAATCTCCATTAATTTAAACACATCTGGCTGAAACTCCAGCAGAAGAGACTTGGTCTAAAACCAGGGGGAGAATCTTTTTGGGGCTAGGGGCCGCTGACCCACAGAAAAATCAATTGGGGGCCATACACAAGACAGACAACAAAAAACACCCCCCTCTCTGATATGGCCCTCGACGGAGAAGGACACACTGCACATATCCCTCCCATACCAGAGCTTGGGGGGGGCCAGTCTAGTAGATTTTGTGTGCTCCAGCCCCATGTATAGGGCAGTATGGAGGAGGGGGCTGGAGTGCCAGCACAGACTCCACAATGATATGGGGAGCTCTGAGCCTTGGGGGCCAAATCCAGATCCCCGGGCCTGAGGTTCTCCACCCCAGTCTAAAAGGGCTGATCAGAGACACTTCCCCAGGTGTCAAATGCTGACTGCTGCATCTTCATCTTTGTGAAGGGGGAAAAGAAAAAAAAAAACCTCACCAGAATTCACCATCTTCCCCCCTCCCTTATAATCACAAGTTCCTACTCGTCTCCCATCTGCTCTGCGGAAGGCACCACTGACCTTATTCACCACCAGGAAGTTCTCGATGGTTTTCCCGTTGGCAAAGACCATGTCCCCCGTGTCTTTCACTGCCTCTGGAAGAATCTCCTTCACTTCTTGAGCAATGACACCTGCATGGAAACCACAGCACCAATCACCCTGGATCTGGCCCCCCGGACGCCTCCCTCAATCGCTGACTCTTTCTCATGAGTCATGTGGCTGCTGACATGAGCCCTGCGCTCTAGGCAGCGAGTCACAGGAAAGCAGAGTTGCCAAGGCCTAGCGTGCAGGGGCTTTCATTTCCTGAAAGGCCCGTGCGCAGCCAGAATGTAACCTCAGTCCAAAGCCAAAGAAAAACAGCTGGGAAAGGGACATCTGGATAAAAAGAGATTCCTCAGACTGATTCTTTGTATTCCATACGGTCGCCAAGAAGGCTAACGGCATATTGGGTTGCATTAGCAGGAACACTGCCAATGGATCGAGGGAAGTGATGATTCCCCTTTATCTGGCTCTGGTGAGGCCACATATGGAGTAGTGTGTCCAGTTCTGGGCTCCCCACTATAGAAGGGACGTTGGAGAGGGTCCAGCGGAGAGCAACAAAAATGATGACGGGGCTGGAGCACATGACTTATAAGGAGAGGCTGAGGGAGTTGGGCTTATTTAGTCTACAGAAGAGAGGAGTGAGGGGGGATTTGATAGCAGCCTTCAACTCCGTGAAAAGGGGGTTCCAAAGAGGATGGAGAGAGGCTGTTCTCAGTGGTGACAGAAGGCAGAATGAGGAGCAGTGGTCTCAAGTTACAGTGGGGGAGGTCTAGCTTGGATATTAGGAAAAACTATTTCACCAGGAGGGTGGTGAAGCACTGGGATGGGTTCCCTAGGGAGGTGGTGGCAGCAGGGGGAGCGGTGAGTTATGACTAAGGAGCAATGGTAGTTTGCAGCCCATCTCCCCTCTAAGTAGCAGACAACTGTGAGGATGGAGCCCGTGCAGGGACCGTACCTGTCTCAGACGTGCTTTCAATGCCCACAGTGGCGGCGAACTCTGGCTTGTAGTTATAGTGCACCAGCCGCATGCGGGAGATCCTCTTCAGCTGCTCTGTGGTGTCCACCTGGAGCCAGGCAAAGACATGAGATCTAGAAGCAGGACGCTGCTCTTTAAGAGCCCAAGAACCCTGCCCCAGGGAGATAAGAGCAATGCTCCAAGAGCTCTCGTCAGTGTCCACAGCAGCAGTCCCATAGAGACCAGACCCAGCATGAGAACATCCACCTCACCAGACTCATCGTCTGCTGGAAACAGTCTGCTAACCAGTCACAGCCGGGGTTAAATCCAAGATTAAAATCCACAGTTCAAACTAGGACCAGGCCAAATGACTCAAGAAAAGGGAGAGCGCCCCCATCACACCCCTACACACCCCACAAGAAGGGGCAAAGACAGCTCTTAGGTTATGTCTACACTGCAGAGTTTTTGCGCAAAAACCCATGGAGCGTCCATACCTCAAGCGCGTTTTTGTGCACGAGAATTTACAGTAGAACGGCAGAACAGAGGACTTTTTGTGGTGTAGGTACACCTCCTTCTACAAGGAATAACTCCTTTTTGCACAAGAGTTCTTGCACAAAAAGGCATGTGTGGACGCTCAACAGGAGTTTCTTGCGCAAAAAGAGCCTATCGGAAAAAGCACAGGTGTTCTGATGGCCATTCAATGGCCAGCAGAGCTTTCTTGCGCAAGAGTGTCCATGCAGTGTGGACGCTCTCTTGCGCAAAAGCACATTGCTTTTGTGATGCACTTTTCAGGTGTGGATGCACTTTTGCAAAAGATCTCTTCCGCAAAAAGCTTCTTGCGCAAAAACCCTGCAGTGTAGACAAAGCCTCAGAGATTTGAAGACCGCACTGCACCTAGTAACATTTGATCTTTCTGAAAGGGATTATCCACATCAGGTAAATTAACAACCCACCAGAGTCTCCCCCCAAGCTCTGACTGGCTCTCAGAGGAGGTTGGATAAAGTCTGGCTTGACGTCTTTGGTGATTTTCATATTTGTGATTCTGCATCTTCTGCTTCCAGCTACAAGAAAAGCTGAAATTCCATGAAACAGGCCATGCCTGGGAGAAAAGCTGTCCTGGCCTCACGGGATTTCTGGCCTGTGGGGCTTTCCAGCTCAGCTGTTAATATGGAATATGTTCACTTGAACACGTGAACTTTTCGGGGCCTCTCCAGAGCTGTCACCCTTCTCAGACTGGTTTCCTATGCCCTGCCAGACTCCCCCAGCTCTCACCTCCTGGATGTCGTCTTTCGCCCGGATGTCTGACGGGTGCATCAACGATCCCATGACCTTCACGTTGCCGTGGACCACCAGGGCTTCATCAGGGCGGTCTGTGTTGATGCCCACTCGGCCATGGTGGAAGACGGTGTCGGGGAGCTGCGCCCGCTGCCAGAGCACGTCGCTGTCGCTCTCAAACTGACCCGGGTTCGAGGCCTGTGGAGAGCCAAGAGGGCAGCGACTGAAAAGCATCCAGAGCAGCAGCAGAGATGTCTCAAAGGCCAAGAGAGGAGGGGCCGGAGCTGCTTCCCAGACACAGCGTGAGCGCGGGTGGCTTCAAGGGAATCCTAAGCAGGGTCCGCCCCCCTCCCCGACTCATCCCCCTGAAATATGCACTGCAGGGCCAAGATGCCTGCACACAGAGATGACACCCCTATGCGAGGAGACGCACTGGTGCTATCATGGCTGCCTGCCACAGTTCAGGGCAGCCATGTTCTAGTCACTGGCGTGAGAGGGAAACATGGTAAATAGGCTTAAAGAGCAGCAAAGGAGCCTGAGTCCAAAACACAAGGGAGGGGGGCTGGCCCCGTTCCAAGCCCAGGGCAGGCTGGGAAGGGCAAGGAGGCCGTGGAGCCTGCAACGTCAGGGCATAAAACCCGTCAGCTCCAAGCCTCAGTGCTCAGGTCAGCTGGTGCAGGCTCATGGGGTGGTAAAGTTACAGGGTAGACATTCGGGTTTAGGCTGGCACCCGGGCTCTGAGACCTTCTCCCATCATGGGGTCTTGGAGCATGAGCCCGAACGTCCGCACCGTGTTTTGGTAGCCCCGCCACCCAGGCCGGGCTGTGTATTGCAACGCAGACACCTGAAGAGGCCCTGCCTGGACTCTGAGGGAAAAGCTCCAGTGCAGGTACCCGAGATGTCACCAGGAGGTGCCGGCGCAGCTTGAAAGCCAGCAGGACCAGCTCCGCAGGAGGACGGTAGGGGAGCAACCCTGAATGCCCTCTCTCCCCCGCCCAGGGCGCGCTGGGGCTGTGACGCAGAGCTTGGCAGCGGGATGAAGCAGCGCAGCGAAACCAGACAGAGGAGCGGGAGAGGGGTTCTGCGTGGGCCGAGGCAGGGGGAGGAGTTGGCACCCAGAGCCTGCGGCAACAAAGCCCTGCCTGCACTTCGTGAGGAGACAGCCCTGCGGCGGGGTCTTCTCTACCCTCCAGCCCCATCTCTGACCGAGGCGCGCTCAGCAGGCACCAGCCGATAGAAGCAGCATCTGCGGCCGCACCTTTCCTCTCCCGTTTCCCGAGCCTTTTGCTCCCCGAGCACTAGGAACTGTGCTGACTCTCCCTGCCCCCAAAGGAGGCCCACACAGACTCGCCGCCCCACAGGCCAGCGCCCCAGAGCAGGGGGCTGCCAGAAAGAGGCCATGCCAACTCTCCCTCCCCGGAGCAAAGGTCACTCTGTCTCCAGCAAGGCGAGTCTGAGGGAGGGTCTCTCTGTCTCATGGAGCTGCTGGTCTGTATCTTATCTCCGCACTGGCTACACCAGGGCTGCAGCGACGCCCAGTGCAGGGCGCTGAGTCTGTGTGGTTCAGGCGGTCTGCTTTTCCCTCAGCTCTGTGGTGGAGCCCCCCGGAGACTGCACAGACTCATCACGTACTTACTTGTCTGCAGACTCCGGGGTCCCCGTCCGCCCTCTGTTTGTGTTTTACCCCCGAACTGGCCCTTTGCTAGAGGAAACGGACAAAGCACTTAAAAGGCAGCAGGGCGGAGACAGCCAAGCACAATGTCACAGCCCGACTCTCGACGCTTCCTGCTCCTGAGCCGCCGTGTGGGGCCAGAGCCAGCCCCTGCCCCAGAGCTGCGTTCCTCAGCCCCCTACACTCCTGTTCCCCATGGGGGACCAGAGCTCTACTAGCTAAACGCTGGGAGAACCTGTCAGGGGAATCCAGTCTCCTTCCTGCCTGGCCTTGCCGCCAGCTTTCTGCACTTCTGCCCACGGCCTGTCTCCCTCGGGCCCCTGGAAAATTCAGCCAGGGCACCCAGTGAAGATCTGCAGGCCTCATTGGTCCCTTGCTCCCTGCTGCTCCTACCCAGACGACACGTCCCCAGCCTTGCACTCCCCTCCTGGGGAACGTGCAGCCTTCTCTGTGTCTCTGTGCTGGGTTCCTGCAGGAACGCCCGGGCTGCCTTCTTCATGACGGGTGGGTGGGGCGGGAAGCGGCATCCCAGAAAGCCAGGCAGAGAACAGGGGGGAAGGGCAGCAGGAGTCTTGAAGAGCCAGGCAGAGGGTTGGTGGGGGGGACTGAAAAGCCAGGAGAAGGGGGCAAAGAGCCCCAAACAGTCAAGCAAAGGGCAGTGGGGGCCCCTAAGAGCTGGAGGGAAGATAGGCAAATGTGTGTGTGTGGGGGGGGGGGAGACTTACTCTGACAATGATGCGCTCGGAGATGTGGGCAGCCAGGGTGTAAGTCTGGTTCTGGGCATGGGCCTGCAGGGCCACCACAAGCATGAAGTACCTGCAAAGGACAGTCACTCACAAGGGGCATCTGCAGCAGGAGAGGTGCGCACCTGGGGGTGGGGGGCTTGGCAGATATTGCCTCCCCCCCCCCCCAGACGGGGAGTCCCCACACCACAGCAGGCACAGCTGATTCCTAACTCCCCCCCCAGACAGGGGGACCCCCCTCTCACGGGCGCTGTCTGATCCAGCCAGCACGCGGGTCTCTCGACATCTGCTGCCCCCGTGTCTGCACAGACTCCACCCCGGAGGGGACGGCCCAGGCTGGGGTCCTGTCGGGGCTCACAAGCTCAGCGGGGCTGGGCTCAGCTCGCTACTGGGCGCCGAGGTGGCAAAAGAAACCCAGCTAACCCCGGCGACTGGGGTGTGCTCTTCCCTCGGTGTCGGTACCGAGACACCTCAGCACGGTGCCAGGGCACTGCTGGAGCCCAGGGGCAGCCTTCAGGCAGGCTCCAAAGCCACGGCCGCTTCAGCCAGGCCTGCTCCAACCCCCCTTCTGTTCTGCCCATCTCAGCAAGCCCCACGCACGCAGCCCCAGTGGGACCCGCGCCGCTCCGTACCTCTGGTCAGGGTTGGGCTTGCCCTTCTTCCTCATGTTATTGGCCGTGGTCTCGCTGAAGTGCAGCCGTCCCACCGTGACCTTGGTGACCTGCTCCGGAGGCAGGTTGACCCTGGAGGGGGAAGCAGAGGGGCACCTCAGGACACGGCTGGAAAGGAGGCCGCAGGGAGAACGGCCGTTTCCCCTCGGGGGTGGGAGGAGGGGCTAGAGCAGCCCCCCCCAGCAGGACTCATCTAGGGAACTGCCTCCTATTCCTTGCTGCAAGGGGGGCTGCCAAGAACGCCTCAGATCAGGCTCCATGAGCAACAGGGACCCACCACGGGGTCAGTGAGCTCTGGGCACGGAGGGCAGGGGAGTCATTGGTTTGGGAAGAAGACAGAGACCGCATGCTTTAAATACACGACCATTCGGAGCCCTGCATGCCAGCACCCCATGGGGCCCCCTCTCTGCCCTCCATCCTCGGGGGGGGGGCCTCATCTCAGGGTCCCTCAATCTCCCCCCCCTTTGGTGGCTCTCCTGTGACAGGGTCCCCCCCCTTCCCGGGCCAGTACTCACGTGACAGGGTTGAAGGGCCGTTTGCTGCGATCGGACTGCGACTGCTCTATGTTGATGGATTGGTTCAAGGCCTCCAGCTGAAGGGAGAGATCCCGGCACATTGCAGAGAGTGAGAAAGTGCAGCTTGCCCCTCTCAGCCCCTTTCCCTGAGCGAGGGGCGCTCCATCCAACCACCTACCCAAAGTATATCGATGGTGCCCATCACCCTGGCCTCTGGGCACCTATAACTATCCCTCCCCCCAGAGAATTTCCCTCCCTGGTTTACTTTGTCCACTCGCCGTTGCCAGCACCTCCCCTCCTGTTCTCCGGCCGCAAGAGTTTTCTCTGCACCAGCAGGGCCAGCTGGCCTCATCCCTGCTCCTTACACATGGATTCCAGCATGCAGGCAACACAGACACCTCCCCTGCCAGCCTGCCCAGGGCAGCCGGGCTCAGACCCTTCCTTTAGGCAGCGTCCTGGTCATGCAACACTTGTGACTCTCACACACATTGGCGCCACTCGCTGACCTACGCACGCTCACCCACAAACAGCATGCAGCGGGAAAAGGCTCGTCAAGGCCTCCCCCTCCCTGTCCCGGACTTGCCTTCACGCCATGCAGCTTCAGGTAGAAGCAGTCGAGCGGCTTCAGGCCCTCGGGGGTCTTCACGTACTTGGGATCGCCGATCATGCCAATGTAGACCGTGACCTGGAAATGATTCTTCTTCTGGCACACAAAGGCGTCGTCGCCCACCGAGAAGTTGAACCCTTTGTCCGCGTCCACCCGGTACGTGGGCAGGGGGCTGAGCACCGAGGGAGGGAGAAAAGGCAGCAGGCGTTAGACCGAAGGGCATACAACCTATCGATATCTCCAGCAGGGTCTGGTCATTTATTGGGGGGGGGGGGGCGGAGGCAGCATAAACCACAGCACTTCTCATTAATGATCACACAGGCCAGCTCTCCTCCTGCTTATGAGCAAAGAGCACCCCCCCACCCCTCCCGTGGCAGCTCCGGGAATTGCTAGTGTGGGAAAGTAACAATGGGGAAGTCTTGCATGTGATTTCAGGTGTCCTTCACTGAAGCGCAGTAGCTGGGAACAGGCCCGCCTCTGTGCGGATCACCGGCAGGCGCTCTGCTTCGTGGGCGAGAAGTGACGCAAAGACCCTCTTGGCCCACTTCTGGTTCCCAATGTCATGTAGCCCAGGACCCCAGTGTGCTTAAGAAGACCGTGCCCCGGCGAGTTCTTCAAACACTGCGCCCAGCTGCTCTGCGCAGCCCGTTAGAGCATCAGAGGATCCCACATCCCACGGAAGCTGCAAGGGGGATTTCAGGCTGGCGGGACTTTTCCAGATTGAAAGGGAACGATGTTCTGGGACTGGCGAGTCGCTCCAGACGCCAGGGTCGCGCCCAGCTTTTATACAAGGTGCCAGAGACTCTTGTGTGACAGCCAGGCATCCTGGCCCATCACAACCCCCCCCACCTCGCGCCACATGACTGGTGAGACGTGGTGGAGGTACCTTGCTGGTTGCTATGCTGGGCAGTGGGTTGTGGGTGACCTCCACTGGCTGCTGGCTGCAGCACGGCCCAGCAGGGAAGGGGATGAGTCATTATGCAAGGGGGCTTTGAACCTGTCTGACCAGTTATCTCCCAGGGAGCGGAACAATGGGAAGAAGGGGAGTGGAGCCCTGGCTGGCGGCAGGGCTGGAGGGGAGTTAGTTAGGTTTCTGGCTGGTATCATGAAGGAAGCAGCCTAGGCAACAGGCTGGGATTTAGGGGCCCCCCATCTCAAGGGGGGCTGAGGCATCCTAGGCCTGCCCTAGAACCAGATTACATCTGTGCTGTGCTGTATCCTGGAGAAGCAATAAACTCCCTCTATTGTACTGGCTGGGGAGACTGTCTGTGTCACTACGGGGGTGCAGGAGGCGGGGGCCCCCGACGCGCCACCACAACTGGCGCACTGATTTCAGAGATTCAGAGGGAAGAGAGCTCTACATTGAGCTGCCCCTGCCTTGTCCTTGGAGGTCTCCCATCCACTCACCCGCCAGGTCCAGCCCTGCTTAAAGTCTGTGATCTGAGTTCTGCGTCTTGGGATATGGGCAGGTGCTGGGGAATCGGGCTGATCTAGGAAGTCTCCCAGGTTTGGGGGGGGGGGCACTGGACATTCTCTGGGGATCTCTCTCCTCAACATGATCTTTCAGAGAGACTCCTGAGATCCCTTATCAGGTTCTGTTCCCCAAGTGACCCATCCTGCCCTGGCCGCCAGGCTGTGCCTGCCACGCACAGCCGGATTCCTGGGCAAATCAGAACCACCTGCTGCCACGTCCAGCTCCCACTAGGGCACGTCCCAGCGGGGAGGGGAAACTTGGGCTACAGAGAAGAAACATGCACCAGCTGGGGAGGTTTAATCTGTATCTCCTTAATGGGCCGGTTACCACGGGAACAGCGAAAATATGTGGCCTTCGCACCAAGTCCCCCTTTCTCCCACCTCCCAAGATCCCTGGCCTACACTCTGGGCTAGGGCCCCTATGAGGGGGAGGGGGGGGGGGAGGCACGGCCTGCCTGGCACAGTTGGGAAAGGGAACATCCTCACATCAGTCACTTGATCAGTGTCAACTGGGAGACCAAATTCCCCCCCCCCTTCCCCTCTCCCGCCGCCTCGATTTTCAAATCACAGGGAACGTTGTTGGGTTTTTTTATTTTTGAAAATCTGCATCCGATAGCGGGGGTCAGGGCGTATCCTTCCACCAGAGCAGCCACCACACCGCCTTCCCTCCTTCCTGGTCGTCATTTTTAGGAAAAAGAAACCATGAACGCCAGAGCACCGAAGGCTCCGCGCGGCGGCGAACAGTGACAGGGAGGAATGAAAGACCACTGACAAAGATTCACGGCTCCATCAGACAAGGAGACCAGACAGACGTTGTAGGCAGGAGTAAACGCTGGGAGAATCACTCTTTTTTATACAGGCAGCTTCCCTCAGGCCTAGTCAATTCAGTGCTGTACAATTGCCAGCCTGACCTAAAATAGCCCCTTTCCTGCGGTCAAAAGGCAATTCATTCCCCTGAACACCCACAAGAGACAACTAATCCAGGGCAAGCCGCTTTTGTTCCCTGGAAGATGGGGTATTTTCACGAAGAGGAACTGAACGGATGAAATGTGGTCCAAGACATTCTCCAACATGATGATCTTAAGCCTTAACACTGTAATGTGACCCGCAAAGACTACAGATCATTTCGAAAGCACGTGGCTCATGCCTGGATGACAGAAGACACGCAGGCACACACTTATTCAAAGTGTAACACAAGGGTCTTTTGCACAGGCTCTGTATGCATACGTCTACACTAGCTCGTTAGTTCGAGCTAGGTAGGGTAATGAGGGCAAGCGGAGTTGCAATGAAGCCCAGGATTTAAATATCCCGGGCTTCATTTGCATGTTCCCGGGCACCGCCATTTTTAAATCCCCCTTAGTCCGAACTCCGTGCCCGCGGCACGGAGTAGGCAGTTCGAATTAAAGATCCTAATTTGAACTACCGTTACTCCTCATTCCAGTTCGGACTAAAGGGGATTTTAAAATGGCGGTGCCTGGGAACATGCAAATGAAGCCCAGGATATTTAAATCCCGGGCTTCATTTGCAACTCCACTTGCCCTCATTAGCCTACCTAGCTCGAACTAACAAGCTAGTGTAGATGTACCCTATCATAGCACGGCATCTGTATGGGTTGCACGTCCACCCAGCTGAGAAGACTCATAGTTTTCACTTATTTTATGATGACCCCTCTTAACACTCCCATTTCACAGATAGGGAAGCGAGGTACAGAGGATGGGTGACTGACTTATGGTCACAGCGTAACAGGGTTGGGATTGGACACCGAGTGTCCCGACTCCCTGTCCTAAACTCTTGACACAGCCACAGGGTCCCACAGACCACACGGCCTTCTGAGAAGGGTCCTGCCATTGAGTGCCAAGCACGTGCAGCTTCAGGGCTCCTGGCAAGTAACCAGTGCCACCCTCAGCTCCCGATGTGCGCTCTCCGACAGACTCATCGCTGCCTCCTGAATGACGGGTAATGGCCTGTTCTCCCACCAGCCAGTCAAGACTCTCAACTGAACTCCAGCGACACACTCTGGGGCAGAACAACCGTAAAACGAAGCGTCACCCAGCCCCACCTCATTCCAAAGTTTATCCGCCCACCAGTTCTCACTCCAGCTGCTTCTCACTGTCCCGGTTCTCCACACAAATCACGTCGCCTCAGTGGTTTACCACTGTTTGCCAGCAGAAACACCCCGGCCATGGGCTGTATTTTGTGTGTGCCCCAGTGGTGAATGGGTTAAGGTGGAATGGTATCTTCCTGGCGAGTAAAGCCGGAACAGCTCCATGAGTAACCATTTATTTCTTCCTTGGGGCCGCAGAGGGACCCCCGGCTGCCTGCGATGTGACCCAAACAAAAACCAGACGATGGAAGCGGAGAGCGCTACCTTAGCCCGAAAGAATGAGAGGAATTTCCCTCTCTCCCGCTTGCCCCTTCCTCACGGTGTTACAGCGTCATTTCTGCCTTCGCTTTCTTCCCACTAAAAGACCCCCCGCTGATCTTGCTGGCTCCTTTCTCACAGCAACGTGCCAACTGCCATCACGGATCAGACCGAGTCCTGCCCAGCCCAGCAGCCTGTCTGGGACAGTGGCAGGCGTTAGATGCTTCAGGGCAGCGGTGGGTCGCGGCTGTGTTCCTGAGGGGTCGCAGCACCATGCCAGCCGCCATTTTGTTTTCCTGTCTCAGCACCTGACAGGGCAGAGGCAGCAGACCGTCTCTCTTCTTCCTCAAGCTTTTTCATGGGGTCCGTGTCTTGCTGCTGGGCATTCTCTTTGGTCCCTCAGAGCTCTGGTCCCTGTGCCTACCATACACAAACGCCCACAGACCCTCCCTCCCCTAACAACCACTCTCCCCCCGACACACACATCCCCGCTTCATACAGAAACACAGTTCTCCCACTCACACCCGACACTCCCACAGCATCTCCTCCAGCAAGTGCTCAGTCTCCTCCACTCATCACCCTTTCGCTCCCACCCTCAACCTCACTGCCTCGGAGTGGACAGCGCCAGCCGCAGTTGCAAGAGAGCGAGGAGGCAGGGGAGGGGCTCACAGAGCCAACAGGAGCCTCCCCGCTGTGTTCTGGTTAATGTCCATTTGGGCTGATGGCAGCTCAACACACACACACAGACCCTGGAGGATCCCTCCTCCTGCCTCTCAGAACACACTGCCCAGCTGGACACAATTCCCCCGACTTCCATCCCTCAGCACGCCAACTAAGCAGAGCTTTCTGATTGGCCGTGAGTGATGTTATTCCCATGAGCAACAATGCTCCGCCAACATCCAAGGCCGAAGGTGGACATTCCACGTCAGAGCTTCTGAAGTCAGAAGGACCATTCCAATCATCCAGCCCCCCTCCTGCCTCACACAGGCCGGAGAGCCTCACCCTCAGCAAGCCCCACATCTAGCCTGTCATCCCTGGCTGAGGTCTGTGAGAAAGAGACAGCCGATCGTGATTTAAAAATTTCACACCATGGGGAATCCACCATCTTGCTAAAGTCTTCCAGTAGGTATTTACCCGCACTTAAAATACCCATTCTGTAACAGCAAAACCACCCCCCGAAGCCTTGTTTTTCCAGGGGTTCACTGTCTCTAGCCTCATGCCAGAGGGGTGCTGTATCCCTTAGAAACTACCTCCCACAAGTCTGAACGCCCCTCTATCCACTCCGCTTTGGTGTCACCAACGCCCAGAATCAGCCCTATGAAGCATCAGCCTACAGA